GGGTCGCCAAGAGGAAACTTCAAAGGACTTGGCTGGCTGCGGGGGGCACGCGCACATACGCGTACACACACGTGTCCCCCTGACTCCACCGGGGAGATGGAGCTGGCCCCAGGAGTAAGTTCCCTGATCACTGCCAGGACGACCTAGCCAGCCCGGGAAGCATGAAAGAGCTTCCCTTCTCCCAGCACCTCAAGGAGAGCTTGGAGCTGCATCGCTGCGGCCCCAGGCAGGTAGATGGAGATGTAGATAGTTGGGTTAGGCTGACGACAGGGTAGAGGTGCACCTCCAGACAGGTTTTAGGGTCCACAGACAGCCCCTCATTGCAAGCTCTAGCTATAGATGGGAAACAGAAATACATAGGCACCTTGCCTCTGCTGTGTTTCTTTTTTCTCTCAAATGGCAGAAGTGCTATTTACCTTTTTTCCCCATCAGCACAAACTGATTACCTGTCTGGCTTCTCATAGGCCTGGCCACAGACAAAGCATGTTGCACTCCCTACCTGCCAAGGTCTTATTGTCTGCTAACAGCTGCCAGCCAAGGTTGAACACTGCTGTATGAAAAGTCTGTCTCTCTATAGGCACCTTAGAAACACACCCGATCGCCCTTCTGTGACATATACAGAGCACAACAGTGGACCAGAGAATGACAGTCCTGGAAGACGAGCTTCCAAGAAGGTTCATCACTAGACCTTGAGCAGCATTTTGAATGGATGAATTAAATGGTAATAATAACTGTCAGCTAGTTGGGACCAGAAATTAACTGCAGTGAGAGGACAATTTTCTGGTGCAGGTGCTGGAGCGGCCAACGAGGGGCTGTGCTCTTCCTGACCAACTGCTCACAAACAGGGAAGAATTGGTAGGGAAAGTACTAGCAGGTGGAAACTTGTGCAGCAGTGACCATGAGGTGACTGAGTTCAGGAACCTGAGTAAAAGAAGGACAGAGAGCAGCAAAATAAGGATCCTGGACCTCAGAAAATCAGACTTTGACTGGCTCAGGAAACTCATAGGCAGCATCCCCTGGGAAGCCAGGCTGACTGCAAAGTGAGAGGGTTGCATGTTGGATTTGAAATGCTGCTTAAATTTGATTTTTTTTTCAATTGCTTGTGTAAGAAATAAAGAATTACAATATTTTTATATAGATCAAGGAACAAAAGAAAGAGAGAACCAAGCCATGACCTGCTTAACTGAGGCAAGTGTTACCTTGATTATGGTAGTAAGGAGTGCAGAAATTAACCCTCCATCTACAGCATCTTAAAAAGAGAATATTCAGTTTGAAGAGGCTCAAAGGCTTGCATCTATTAGTAAGTTGAAAGTTTGCAATGACAATAAGAAAGTTTGCAATGACAGTTTGAGCACATCATCTCTGCATAGATATTACTGTGATAGATTCAATATAAGCACCTAAGGAGTAGTTCTTTCAATGTAGGCATGATACCAATGGCTAGACCACAAAAGAACTAAGGTGCGACTTAAGTTCAAAATTTAGTCCTCAGAACCTCTTTTCTGTTGTAGCTTTAATTTCCTGGGCATCAAAGCTTCTGCCAGCAGAATTTCCTGAGATCCAAATCCTGACAAAGCTAGACTTGCAGATCAGGTGTTCCTCTCCTTCCCTACCCTGAGACTCAATTCTGAAGGAGTTTTTGTAATGCACATAGCTGATTAGACCTCACATAAAGCACCAGCAGAGCTCTATCAACTCAACCTTTACAGCATTTATTCAGGTATCATTAAAATAGAGAATAGTAAATGTAGTGTCTATATTTAAGAAAGGTAAAAAATAAGTGATCTGAACAACTATAGGCCTGTTGATCTGACTTCAGTAGTATATGAGGATTTAAAATACATTTGATTTAAAGGAAAGGATAATGAAAAAGACTAAGCTTAGAAATTGGGATAAAATGTAACATGAATTTTAGCAAAGGCAGGCTACACCAAGCTAACCTAATATCTGTCTTTAAGATAAATGCTTTTCAAAACAAAGGAAATACTACAGATCACATCTATCTGGACTTCAGTAAAGTATTCAGAATAGTGCCATGTGATATAGGATATTATTAGTTAGGCTGGAGAAGATGAGGGATTAGTAGAATTACAAAGTGAAACATCGAAAGGGAAGATAACACAGTGTTGAAAGAGGAAGTTATCAGGGTAGAAAGAAGTTATTGCAGTTTCTCAAGAACTGATCTTGGGACTAGTCTTTTTTGATATTTTCATTAATTATCCTAGCACATGGTATAACAGCATTCACTGTTCATATGAAGTTCAAAGGCATATGCCATATGGAAAAGGACTGGGGTAGCATATAGAAAGAGTGGCATGGCCTTAAGACCTACAGTAATAGACACAGGATAATACAGCTGCAAGATATTTCACTTATGGAGGACTAATTAAAATTTCTGTTTTAATGTAGTTGGAAATGACTGAAGAAGAGAGAGACTTGAACATACTCATCAATCAGAGGACAGCTATGAGCCACTTTACGTTCAACAATGAAAAAGTTACTGGGCCAGAAAAAGAGACAGTCGGTGTGAAAATATTTGTAGGGAAGGAAAGGATTCTGTTCCCTGAATTGGCCTGTATACCAGACGTAGAAATGTTGTTGGATTGCCACCTCCTGTTAGATGCTCAGGTAGCAGCAGGTGCCATCAGGAGTATCATCTGTACTTAATAAAATTACAGACTCTTGAAGTTGCACACACTATCATGGCCTTTTATTTCTTCAGCATCTTGAGCCTAGATTACTTTAACCCTAAATCCATTTTGTAGCAAGTACAGAATGTGGCTGCTCACTTTCTAAGCAGTGTTTCACATGGAGAGCACATTACACCTGCCATCCATCTGCAAGATTAGCCTAGATACTGATTAACTTCCAAATGAAGTTCAGGGTGTTAACTTCATCCTAGTAACTGATTTTGTAACCCTGATTTGGCCGGATCCTGTCAGTCTTCATAGTTTCATAGTTTCTAGGGACGGAAGGGACCTGAGCAGATCATCTAGTCCGACCCCCTGCCATGGCAGGAAAGAGTACTGGGGTCAAACGACCCCAGTAAGGTGGTCATCCAACCTCCTCTTAAAAACCCCCAGGGTGGGAGCCTGCACCACCTCACTTGGAAGCTGGTTCCAGACCCTAGCCACCCTGACCGTGAAGTAGC